TGCCCACGGGGACCGGGCCGAGGAGCCCGGAGCTCGGCATGCTCAGCCCCGAGCCTCCCTTCCCCAGGCAGTGTGGGAGATAGGCCTTCTGTCTTCTTAATAGGAGACACTCGTTTTTGTCCGGGCGGTTTAGTTTTCTCACGTATTAATCTAAAGCAAAACCAGCCCCAGGAGAGTGTTTGCGGCCACGTGGAGGGGAAAGTGCAGCTTCTATAAAACATATGCTATGGGGTGTTTTTTTTATAATTCTTTTTATTCGGGAACAGGCTTTGGGCTGGAACCAGGCTGCAGATGAAACACTTGCCATTCCCGTACAGTTGAGTTTATGCTCTGGTTCCTCCACCTTGATAAACCTGTTGCATGTGTTGGAGTCTCAGGCCTAATTGCAGAGCCCAGAGCCATGCTAGTGACCAGGGTCAGACACAGACAGCACTTGTTAGCTGGTTAGTTTTAGTTTTGTATTATTTTTCATCTCTCTGAAATGAATTTTGGATGAGGAAGTGAAGGAAGATGCTTTGCCTGTATTATTGCCATGAGATTAATTAACAGCTAATACAGTATAATGCTAAAAGGTGCTTTTTTTAAAGGGTTTTCTTCAGACTGGAAAGCCATTTTTGGCCATCCTTTGAGCCTTTTGAAGGCAGCTGGTGCTGAGAGCAGTTTGATTTCTCACCTTACAGATGTTAAGGCACATGGGGTTGTTCAGAGGGCCCAGACCACACAAAAATCCCACTCTGACACTAAGTTTGGTTGCCTGAAGCCATTGTGAGTCTTTATGTTGTATTAGAGAAGCTGTCCACAGCATTTCAGCTGTTAAACTTCATCGAAACCACAAGTTTCTGGTTAACTGTATAAACACAGTTTTGAGTTTATAAAAACAGAATCAGGTGAGTTTTTTATTAGTTTTATATGAGCTATTTTACTAATAGAAGGAAAGCAGTCCAGAAGATGATAGCAAGGAGCCCAGAGATTCCATCCCAAGTTCATGAAACCTGAAATCCTTGGGAACCCTTTGCATTTCAGACCTCAGGTGTGCTTCTTTTGACCACAGAGCATACCTTATAGCAACAAATATTGCTGTGATGATGTAATTTGCGTCTTATCCAGTGTTCAGCGACAGTTGCCTGCTGTCAGCCTGCTGGCACTGCTGAGCTGAAGACTCCTTCCTTCTGAGCAATACTGGAGGGGTTGGAACGCTATAGAACAAACCAAAGCAGTTTATTTCATTACTGAAGTGTTGTCCCTTCCCCAGGCTTGTGCTCGGCCGCTGATCTCGGTGTACTCGGAGAAGGGAGAGGCCTCGGGCAAGAACGTGACTCTGCCTGCAGTGTTCAAGGCCCCGATCCGCCCTGACGTCGTCAACTTCGTCCACACCAACCTGCGCAAGAACAACCGGCAGCCCTACGCCGTCAGCGAGCTCGCAGGTCTGCTGGGGCACCCTCACTGGCAGCCTGGGGCTTCCTCTTGGGGGCTGGAATGGCACTGGAATTAGCCTTGGATTTAGTTGGGGCTACTATGGTACAGAAGTCATAGAATTTTAGGGGTTGGGATGGAGCTTAGAGACCATCCAGCCCCAACCCCTGCCCTGGGCAGGGACACCTCCCACCAGAGCAGGTTGCTCAAGGCTTTAGCCAACCTGGCTGTGAACACTGCCAGGGTTGGGGCAGCCACAGCCTCCCTGGGCAACCTGGGACAGTGTCTCACCACCCTCACAGGGCAAACTTCTTAATGTCTAACCTAAATTTCCTCTCTTTCAATGCATCCCTATTGCCCCTTGTCCTGTCCCTGCAGTTCCTAACCAAGAATCCCTCTGCAGCTTCCCTGGAGCCCTTCAGATAATGCAAGGCTGCTATGAGGTCTCCATGCAACCTTCTCCTGTCAAATCAGCCTTCAGTTTTAATTTGGGGGCAAAAAGCGAAATAAATTTGGGATTGATGTAAGTTAGGCACTTGTGCAATGCTGTGTAGCAGCTGTTTGGGTTATTAACAGTCTGGTTTTAATTGATATGAAATATAAGTAATTACTCTGAAGGACATAAGGTGGTGTTTTGGGGTACTTTGGGATCTTGCTGGAAGGGGGTGTCAGGGTTCTTGGGTAGAATATCCATTCTGTGCAAGAAGAGCACAGAATGTCTGGTAGGAATCAGGTGAAAAACCCCACTTGGGTATGCCTATTCCACATTGACCATGTGGGACTCATCTGAGGCATCTGCCAAGGAGAAACCTCTGCAAATGGGTGTTTGGGAGAGTTGGTTCAGTTGTAGGTGCAGATAACTGCAGGTTCTCAAGAAATCTGTGCTAGGAATAGGCATATTTAACCTTATTTCTAAGGTTTCACATACACATTTAACACCTGATCAGGATTTGCTTCGCTGAAATGATGAGATTCCACTTCATTGGTCCGTGTTTCTGAAACACATGATAACAGTGGAAGTTCTGATTGGTGCCTGGAATTCAGCATCTCCCTGACTTCAGGAGAATCACAGTGCTGCCACTCTCTGAACAAACATCTTTGTGTTTCAGGTCACCAAACCAGTGCTGAGTCATGGGGCACTGGGAGAGCAGTCGCTCGCATCCCGCGCGTGCGAGGTGGTGGGACGCACCGCTCCGGCCAGGGAGCCTTTGGGAATGTATCCTTCCAGAGCTGCTGCCTGCACTGGGGCACTGAGCTCAGCAGCTGAAAAGTGATTGATAAGTATTGAAATGTGAAATGGAATCTTCGAACTGAGGTAATGGCTGCAAGTCAGACTTGCCTAACAGTAAGGTTGGAAAAGACCTCTGAGATTATTGAGTCCAACCTGTGATCTCACACCACCGAGACCATGGCACTAAGTGTCACCTCCAGTCTCTCCTTAAACACTTCCAGAGGTGGTGACTGCTCCACCTCCATGGGCAGCCCCCTCAGCTTTCACTGATTCCCACTGCAGGAGTGGTGGTGCCTGGAGTGTGTTCAGACTTGCCGTGATGTCGTAATTTGCGTCTTACTCTGTGCTCAGGGACAGTTGCCTGCTGTCAGTGTCCTGGGACAGGTGGTTGACGACCCACGAACGCTGAGCAAGGACTGGAGAGTCACGTTAGGAACAGAAGGTTCCATGAAAGGTTGAGTTGTCCTTAACTGCAGCTCCCAGATGTGTCGTGGCGGCCGCATGTTCGCCCCAACCAAGACCTGGCGCCGCTGGCACCGCAGAGTCAACACGACACAGAAGCGTTATGCCATCTGCTCTGCTCTGGCTGCATCAGCTCTGCCAGCACTGGTCATGTCCAAAGGTGGGAATTCTGTCCCTGCCAATGTTTGCCTGAGCCAGGATCAGGTGCTTTGTGGGGACTGAAAAGGAATTTTGCGTCACACAGCAGTGCAGTTTGATTGCTGTTCATGGCAGCAAAGATTTGCCTGAAGCTCAGGTACCCGACGTGCTGTTAGACCCCACTGAAACTTCACTGCTGTGGTCACTGTGCCTGAAAATCAGATCATTCATTTCATTGGATTGAGGGTTTAATTTCCAGTTTATCATCTTGTATCACTGGTGAATACACATGACAAGAAGCTCGAGGAGTGGGTCCAGCCAAGGTCAGTGGGTAACGCAGTGTCTTGTGAACTCCCCACCAGGTCACCGCATTGAGGAGATTCCAGAACTTCCTCTCGTCGTTGAAGACAAAGTGGAGGGTTACAAGAAAACCAAGGAAGCTGTTCTCCTGCTTAAGAAGCTTAAAGCTTGGAATGACATCAAAAAGGTGAGTCGGCGTGATCTGAAGAGTGACACCAGGTGATTCAACTGCCGTTCGGTATTTTGACTCTTAGAAATGATGAACTCCTCACTGGTCCGTGTTGCAGATGTGCACTGATGATTGTGAAGTTCTGACTAAAGCAGTTGATTGGGTATTAAAAGTGGGATTTGGGCTGTTGGGATACTCACAGGTATCACCTTTGCCAGGTTTATGCCTCCCAACGCATGCGAGCTGGGAAGGGTAAGATGAGGAATCGCCGTCGCATCCAGCGCAGGGGACCCTGCATCATCTACAACGAGGACAACGGCATCATCAAGGCCTTCCGGAACATCCCGGGTAATGACTCCCTTGGGACAGCCCTGCTCTGTGCTCAGCAGACTGCCTGGAATGATGAGGTTCCACTTCATTGGTCCGTGTTTCTGAAACACATGATTGTGTGGAAGTTCTGACTTGCTGCAGTAGCTGATAGGTTCTTTGTGAGAACCTGTTGGGGTGATGTTGAGGGTGTTTGACACGTTACAGCTGTTCCCAGCCCTGAATTCCAGTTAATGATGAGGCTGTTGAGTTTGCTGCTGGAAAAGGGGCTGGTTGTTACTAATAATTTCAAAACTTAGTAGATTTCCATACACAGGTGTGTGTAGTGTCATGGTCAAAAAACCCCACGTCCTTCTTGCTGTTGCTTAGTCTCGCGTCGCTTGATTTGAATCACAAATTAAAGGGGTTCCTCTGACTGGTTTTGTGCAGGAATTACTCTCCTCAACGTGAACAAGCTGAACCTGCTGCGACTCGCTCCTGGTGGCCACGTTGGGCGTTTCTGCATCTGGACGGAGAGCGCGTTCCGCAAGCTGGACGACCTGTACGGCACCTGGCGCAAGGCTGCCACGCTCAAGAGTGACTACAAGTGAGTGCTTGGGAGAGCAGCGCAGGGGGTGGTGGAGAAGGGATACCAGGAGCTTTTCCTAGCCCAGGCTGGATGGGGCTTGGAGCAGCCTGGGCTGGTGGAAGGTGTCCCTGCCCATGGCAGGAGGTGGGATGAGATGAGCTCGAAGGTCCTTCCAATCCAAACCATTTCAGGATTGCCAACTGCCATGAATTAACCCATGAAGTAACCATGGCTTTATCATCCACTCACTCTGGGAATGTTTGCTTTGCAGCCTGCCGATGCACAAGATGACCAACACAGACATTGGAAGAATCATGAGGAGCCAGGAAATCCAGAAGGCCCTGCGTGCTCCAAAGTAAGCGCTTCTATCTGCTGAGGGAAGGCTTTGGAGGGAGGTCAGAAATCTCAGCACTGCATTGCCAAATTCCAGGGAGGATTTAGCAGAACTGAGCTTGTGAAATGGGCTGATGATGATCCACACCTTTTCTTTCCAGGAAAAAGATTCACCGTAGGGTCCTGAAGAAGAACCCACTGAAGAACCTGAGGATCATGATCAAGTTGAACCCGTACGCCAAGACGATGCGCCGCAACACCATCCTGCGCCACGCGCAGAACGTGAGTGAGGGGAGCCGCTCGCGCCTGGGCTTTGGTGCTTTGGGTGGTATACTGATGCTCTCTCTGTCTCTTTCAGCACAAACTTAGGGAAGAGAGGAAAGCCAAGGTCAAGGCCAAGCTTGCAGCCAAAGCCCCAGCTGCACCCAAGGCAGAGCCTGCCCCCAAGAAGGCCAAGACAGCCAAACCCGCAGCGAAGGGCAAGGCTGAAGCGTAAACGCAGCAGTGCTGCCCCTGGGTGCCTCGGGGAGCTGTGCCCAGGGCTTCCCACTAATAAATGCTGTTGGAACAGAGCCATGGTGTGCGTGTGGGTGTCTGAGCAGGTTTGAAATGGAAACTGCAAAGGAGTTTGGGTTGAGCCCATGGGAGCTGGGACAGGCCCAGTTTGTGTGGTGTTGTGATGGGAGGGTTAGGCTGGAAATTAGAAGAAGGTTCTTCACTTAGAGGACAGGTGAGGGAGGAAATTTGTGGAAATGAAAGCCAAACACTTGTTGAAATGTTACAACTTCCTCATGAGAAGCAGCAGAGGCGCAGTACTGATCTCCCTGTGACCAGTGACAGGACCTGAGGGAATGGGCTGAAGTGTGTCAGGGGAGGGTTAGGTTACATACTTAGGGCAAGGTTCTTCCCCCAGAGGTGTTTGGGCACTGGAACAGGATTAGTTGGATATCAGGACAAGGTTCTTCCATCAAAGGTGTTTGGGCACTGGGACAGGGTTAGGTTGGATATCAGGACAAGGTTCTCCCCCCAGAGGTGTTTGGGCACTGAACATCTCCCAGGGCAGAGGTCACAGCCTGACAGAGCTCAGGGAGTGTTTGGACAAAGCTCTCAGGCACAGGGTGGGTTGTTGGGGTGTCCTGTGCAGGGACAGGAGTTGGACTCGATCTTCAAGTGTCCCTTCCAACTCCGAACATTCTGATCGATTCTGCCTGCGAAGGCCCTGACAGGGCTGTGTCCAGCGGTGGGGCAGTGCCATGCTGTGCCCGATCCCCGTTCCGTGCCGATCCCGG